CCAAAACACATTTGGAAGAAGATGGTCCTTTTAAATTATCTTACGGATCACCTGTTTCAGATGCTTATAGCCATGACCCCAAACACACATGTGAACATCATTTGGGTTAAACATAGGCCTTGTGCCAGCAGCATTCCTGGCATCATGCACTGTTCAAGAATAGTGTTCAAAACGACATAAACCACTCACAAGAAGTAGGGTCTTGGAGTAAACACTTTAAGTTGTATTTTTTAATTGGTCGATCAGGAACTGCATTGCATGAAGAGGACATGCTAAGAGCTAAATGAGCAAAGATTATTTTGACCTAGCATATAATAAAAAAAGATTAAAATTGTATTTACTTCCTTGGATTCCAAACTCGGGCTTAAAACAGTGAGTTTCAAGATCCTTTATTCACTTGCATGTTGTTGCAGTGCCTCTTTCAAATTCTCTGACAAGGTATCGCAATATGGTGGAGATCGGGCAGGGAGCAAAGAAAAAAGATTCCTTCAACACCTGGCCCCTGAGCTACACTGTTAAAATTCTCACCCCCACCAGCACTGAGGGAGCCTTCAGATGAAAATGTCCCTGCTGAGAGACCTCCTTCTGTAAGTCATCAAATTGAAGTCATTATCCCCCAACAGTGAGAATACAATGATTTGCACATCTATGAGGGGATTGGAGGAGAATGCTAAAGAGCTTTGCATGTATTAAGCAAGTAAGGGGTGCAGCCCTGCTGGTATTGTTCTCTTCTTACAGTAGTGCAAATTGAGGTGTGGAGGATTGAGTGAATTGGACCTGGGGCCAAATCCTGTGGATACCTAGGATAAAGATGCAGCGAGGTTCCTACTTGCAATGCCATTGGATACCTAACTTGTCTTGATACGGATGACTATTTATACAATGGTCTTTTCTGAATCTTTAAACTGTTATGTAAAATGAGGGCCTTGGGTCATCCTGTGAAGATCTGAAAGAACCTAAAGAAGTTTTTTTTTCTAATTTTCCTGTCCAAGATACTCTGCGATTTGTATGTGTTGTGTCTCTCTTCCTATGCTTTGGGATTTGCCCCGTTCTTTAAATTTGACTTGTGGAGTACATAGCCTGTCAAAAGGCATTGCCCAGTTATTCCTGTTGGCTACCAATTGCAAGTAATAAAGAGTAGTTTGGGGTATGTGTAATTCTTAAATTGAGAAAGAGTGATTTTTTTTTTATCACTTTCTCCATTTACTTAAGCACGTGTTTGGTTTTTCTTCTTTTATTTCATCCAAGTGCTTTGTTGAGGACAAGACTAAAAATGTGCAGTTTATTATTTTTCGTCTTGTCATCTTTGAACCACTTCAAGTGTTCCCCAAAGCTGTCACTTGCTCATAAGTGTGAATAGGTGTTTGCTTACATTTGCCTTCTCTGTTCCAGCAGTTCTGCAAAAGCTACAGGTTGTCTTTCCCAGATAAAGTTGCTGTGTTAATAGTAAAGTACTACAAATGTTGCTTTGGATCTTTATGTACCAGTAAGAAGCCATGAAGGTCTAACAGGTATCATAACTGCAGGCTTCTGCCTTTAAAGGCATGTACTGTCATTTCTTTTTTCTGGAGGCATGATGGAGGTGTATATTTGAAAACTTACATTTCCCTATTCTAGAAATAGGAATTTCCAGGTAATGGGGGCTCTGAATTGATAAGCAGTGAGATATGAAAAGGGGTATTGCTGACATAAATTAATAATGTGATGAGTAGCCTTAACAGATTTAATAGCAGTTAAATTACTTCAAATTTTTATCCTGATTCAAAGGGTGGTTTCATATAATATAGAGCCGTAGTCCCTGAAAGTGGGACTTACCAGGGATCCCTCTGGGTAAGGATTTTCAATTCTTTTAAGCTGTGCTACTGGCAGTGATATATATGGGAAGATGTATTCTACTTAAGAGTTTAGTAGGGTTTTTTCTTACTAATTTTTCTCAGATGAGCCTTCCATGCCTTCAGCTTTCCTGAAAACAGTCTTTATTTGAATGTAGAAATACAGGTTTAGCTACATTATTTTCACTATTGTATTGAAAAATCTCAGCTTGATTTCATAAGGTATGCAGAGAATTGGGCTTTCAGTGTTCTGGCTACTCTGCTGTCACCTGTGTTGCACCTGTATGGCATGATTTCTTAACTGGATGAGAAACTGTGTGCACATAATACTTGTTGAAGGCACAGCTTTCTAGATCCAGTCTGTGCTTGCAGCAAGGGAGGCCAGCAGCCTCTCCAGGGCTGTATCAGGAACCAGCACACCCTCACATGAGACAGTCCTCCACGAACTTCTTCAACATGAGCCTTTCTCACAGGCTGCAGTTCTTCACAAGCTACTCCAGCCTGGTTCCCTCACATGGGGCACAATCCTTCAGGAACAGACTGTTTCAGTGTGGGTCTCCCACAGGGTCACAAGTCCTGCCATGAGCCTGCTCCAGCATGGACTTCCCATTGGGTCACAACATTCTTCAAGTATCCACCTGCCCTGGCGTGGGGTCCTCCATGGGCTGCAGGTGTATCTCTGCTCCACCACGGACCTTCGTGGGCTGCGGGGGCACAGCTGCCTCACCATCATCTGCACCATGGTCTGCATGGAAATCTCTGCTCCTTCAGCTGGAGCACCTCCTCCCCTTTGTTTTTCACTGACCTGGGTGTCTGCACAGCTATCCCTCTCACATAGTCTAACTCTCTGTTTGGCTGCAATTGCTGTTACATAGAGGTTTTTTCCCCATTACTAAATAATTATCCCAGAGGTGTTGCCACCATCACTGATAGGCTTGGCCTCGGCCAGTGGCAGGTCTGTCTTGGAGCCGGCTGGCATTGGCTCTGTCAGACCTATGGGAAGCTTCTGGCATTTTCTCACAGAAACCACCCCTGTAATGTCCCTACTACCTAAATCTGGCCATGAAAACCAAATATGGTTCTCCAGTCCTCCTTCCAACCTTGCCTGTTCTGCCGTGTATAATGAAAGAGTGGTTGATAAAAATAATGGATCCAAGGTGAATTTGTGTAGGACCAGCACAAAATAGAGCTTGGAGAAGGAATCTGAACAGCATTAAAGCTGGAATGCAGATGTGGTAGATGGGTTATGGAGAAGAAAAGGACATCATTGATGAGTTGCTGGTGCAGTTGTTACAGGTAAAGGAGCTCCAGTTAGTACAGAAGGGTATCTAGAAATTCTAGTAGGTCACCTGTTTACTGCAAGCCTGAGAAGGCTGGTAGCAGTGAGGACTGTAGCCTCTGCTTGCAGGGATCTAAAATACTGCTGGAATTTGCTGTCCTCTAGCTGGCGTTTCTGTGCCCTGGTGATTGATCCAAGGTATATCGTAAACTTAAGAAATAAGTTGGCTAGCAACTAAAAATTGGAATGTGTTTATACACTGATAATACTTTATCAAATAGATACTGAGTGCTCATCTGTTGCTTTTAGGAGTTAGTAGGAGCTGTGGTTGCCTCTGGGCAAGTACTACTGCTGGAGAAGCATTAATGTGCTCCAAGCTTCAATTGCTCTTACTTCAAAGTCTTTGCAGCTTTTGACATTGGAGTGTGTAGATGGGTGTTGGGTATTGATTTCTGGGGGTTGTTTGGGTTTTGGGGTATTTCTTTACGTTGATAAGTGGATGAATGTTACCACCTCAAAAGCTGTATTAATTCTACCTTTTTCTTTCTGAAAGGGAATGTGCTTGCATCTAGTTCTGTGTCTGATCTCGAGAAGTTGTACCAAGGAACAGAGGAGACTGATGTCTCCTCTGCACGCAGCCACGGCTGTAATATGCTGCCTGAAGAACAGCTCGGAAAGGATGCTTCCTAGCTTGCTTTTCTGGGATTTTCACTTGGAGCTGACAACTGAACTCATCTTTTAGGAACTAGAGCTGTGTAGTCCCCAACTCTCTTAGCAACCTTCGGCGTTTGTTTCAGCCAACGAGGGCTGTCTCAGAACTGGAGCATCTCCAGCTTGGTAATGATAGTTCGTTGTTTGGAATATTTATTACCCTGTATTTGACTTACAGAGATGACACGAGGTGAGAAAGTTCTTAAATCCCTTGTTGTTGAGTTTGCTTCCAGCCCCGGCTGCCTCGTCCCGCTCCCGGGCAGGGGCGGCGGGTGGCCGCTCGGAGCGGGGAAGCGCTGCGGCGACAGCAGGTGCCCTCGTCCCGGGCTTCAAGCGCCGCGATGGGGCGCGCAGCCCGTCCCCCTGTAGGAGCCCACGGGCTGGGGGTCCCCGCGGTGCGAGAGTAGGCAGGGAGGCCGGGGCGGAGCCGGTGCCCGTGGAGGAGCCGGCCCGGCTGTGCGGGGCCCGGGGTGAGGGGAGGCGGCCGGGCGGTGTCACACCCCGCACCGGGGCTGCTCTGGTTTTCCGCTTCTCCCCTCGCACCGCGTCGCGGTTCCGTTCCTTGCTCGATGTTCGCAAGCGCTCGTACCGAGCCTGAAGCGCCGTCGCGCCGAACCCCGAGGGGTGCCAAGCGCTGCCGGTCTGTATCAGCCGCCCGGGGCCGCCGCCGACTCGGCAGCAGGTCGTGTAGCATCTGCTGACGGGTTTGAACTCACTGTCTGCTCTTAATGCTATTGGAAAGCAACTGGCTCCTCGGGATTCCTTGCCTAATCAGAGGTGTTACCTCCTCCTCTTCCCCCAGTGTCTCTTGACATCATTTCATCCATCAGACTTTCAGAGGAAAAAAAACACCAACCAAAGCAGAACCCACCCAGTCCGAGAGCAGCCCACACCAGCCCCTCAGTTTTGCCGTGACTGCAGGGAAGAGCTGGATCAGGGCAAAGATGAAGGATGAGAGCGGGGCTGAACTCCATGTCCTGAAGGATTTGGTGCAGGGCGAACCGAGAGGAATCCAGAGCGATGCACGGACCGGCATCCCCCGTACCCCGGGCGGGGATCAGTAAGGTCAGGGGCCGCGCGTGGGGATGCGAAGGTGCTTGACCCACGGGAAAGAACTAGCCTTCGAGGTGCATTTGCTCATAATTGTTGCTCCATGGGATTTCTTCTGCCCCCCGCGACTGACCTGATGTGGACCGAAGCGCTTCTAACATGAACTTTCTCCCTGGGATCTGGTGGTCTCTTCCTTTGGTCTTGATCTGGGCGACCCCACCAGTCACTTCTTCATGGTGGTAAGCTGTGCAATTCCAGGAATTTTTATTTGCTCTTGGGGAAGGTGGGGTCGGATTAATTGTGAACTGGGGGGGGGGGGGGGGGGGGGGAAGCCTCTCCCTCTCAGGTTCTCACAAACGAAGCTCGCTGCTGCCAGCTGCTCCGGTCCAGAAAGTCCAGCCTTAAAGAGAGCGGGATTAGACGGTCCCGGCATCTGCTTCCACACCCCGGCCCCGCACCCCGGCCTCCTCCTCCCCATAAGCACAGCGCAGCAGCGGGGGCTGCACGGGGCTTTCGACAAGGCTGCGGGTGTGGGGGGACCCGGCGGGGGCAGCGGGCACCGCCCGGGCTGCGGGGCCGCCGAGGGAGCGGGAGGAAGGCAGGGAGGCGGGCGGGGAACACGCCCGAGGGGCGCGGGTGAAGCACTGCTCCTGGCAGCCGGCCCTCCGCGCCCCGGCGGCGCTGGGAATTGGCTACAGCAACGCTATTTTTTTTATTATTAATTTATTTTTTCTTTCTTCCTCGCCCTCCTCAGCCCCTCCCTCCTGCACAGTTTCCCCTCACTAAACTGCAAGGGCACAGGGCTGAGAGCCCTGCCGGCAGCCCCGGGCCCAGCTTGAAGTGATAGTTGATGTCGGTAGCTTGCTGCAAAACGGGTTTGAATGAAAACACACTGTTCCTCAAACTGGGGACCCCAACCAAGGCCAGCCTGAAAAGTCTTGGTATAGGAGAGGAGTTAAACCCTTCTTGTAAACCTAGGGAACACATTTAACCTTGACACCAGCTGACACGGGATCAAAGCCTGATTTATCAGACTGAGTATGTTTCAATAAAATGACTATCTGTGTCCTTAGCCGTATAAATATTATTTATTGCGATAGCTTTTTGTCATGGTGTCTTCTAACTGCCACTTAAATATATATATTTTTGGAAGTCACGGCTTTAACGATTTTATGGTCGTATAAAATAATGAAAATACAAGAAAAGGACATTTTCTTCTGTTTGATCCCTTCAAAAGACACCTACAGAAGTTTGGAGTTTATGAAAGGTACCTTTCGAAACGTTTCAGGACTAATAGAGACCATCTGGATACAGATGATGTAATTTAATTTTTGTCAAGGCTTTTTTTTTTTTTTTTTTTTTTTTTTTTTTGAGTACTGCACGGTGCTGCAATAGCCGGGCTTGGGGTTCTCCTGAATGCTTCACTTTATTAAAAAGCACAGCATCGGTGACTAATGGTAAAGGATTTCCACCAAAAAGGCAGAGGTAGCTGTAGCTCTGGACCCACCTGAGGAAGGCTCCAGGGCACTGAGGACCCTCCTTCCCCTGGAGTCGGTGCCCGGGGGTCGCCGCGGGCCCCCGCCGCTGCACTGCCCCTTCCCTCCCGCAGGTACATGGGCGCCGTGGGCTCGTCGCGAGTGATGTGCGACAACGTGCCGGGGCTGGTGAGCCGGCAGCGGCAGCTGTGCCGGCGGCACCCCGAGGCCATGCTCTCCATCGGCCGCGGCGTGGCCGCCTGGACGGCCGAGTGCCAGCACCAGTTCCGCCGGCACCGCTGGGACTGCAACGCCCTGGAGCGGGGGCAGCGCCTCCTCGGCCGCGTCCTGCTGCGCAGTGAGTCCCGGGGCCGGAGGCCGGGAGGGGCTTCCCGCGGGCCCAGGCGGGGAGCGGAGCCCCCGCGCCTACGGACTGAGAATAAACGGGGGTTTAGAGGGTCGGCGTGAGGGTACAAGGGTTCCACACGGGGGTACCAGGGGTCCTGTGGGCTGACACCGCCCGGGCAGTGGTGGGGAACAACGGGAAGCGGTGGCCATCCCCCTGTTATCCTTGTTCTTAGCAAGAATGAAGCTGCGTTTTACACTTCAGGAGGAAGGGAAGGGGAAATGCAAATTTATTCTAGGGTCTGACAGTCAAAAGAACGGCATATATGATGATGCGAAGTGCTGCATTGCTTAAAAACGTGTATCAAATAAGAAAGACAAGGGGTGGGGGGCTTTGACACGTTAAGGGATGGCTATGCAGTTCCCAACTTTTTTTTGGTACATAATGGACCCACAAATTAAGGGCTACGGGGAAACCGAGGCGGCAGAATAGTGAAGCAGGACAGAGAATTTTCCATCACAGCCCAACCTCGGGATATCGGTATTCGGGGTGGGGCGGGCTGAAAGGGGCAGCTCATGCGTGAACAGGAGCCCTGTGCGTTGGGATGACAGACGACAACTCCTGCACGCCGGTTCCCGCTGGAGCATTTTACCTGGAAAGCACAGCAGCAGGGTACAATCCCCCCAGGGCTGTGCTGCTTGCGAGGCTGGGATCTGCGGCCGTGCCGGGGCAGCACAGCTCCAGGCTCCCTGACCTCTGCAGGGGCTGTGACAGCCAGTCCCCCAGGTCAAGCTCGGGGGAGAGAGAAGCAGGGGACACACATCTGATGGGGTGAGCCAGGCTTGTGCAGACCTCAAGCCCCTTAGGACTACAGTGTGCTTCCCACCCTGAGGGAGGATGGTTAAGCAGGGTGGTGTTGTCATCTAAATGTTGGGCTGAGGCATCAGCACTAGTTTGAAGACCAGTGAGTCTTCAAACCTCTTGTGTGGTCCTTTTGACTCAAAGAAATGACTGAGATCTGTTACTGTGACAGAATGTCCTTACCTGAGTGATAAATATGCTGAGATTCTCAGAAACTGTGGCTTTTTTCACCAAATGCCACACCTGGGCACCCAGCTGTGGTGCACAGCCAGTGGGGCTGACCCCGAACTGGCACTTGAGTCCCTGGGATGTCCCCAGCACCATTCAAGACAGCCTCTCCAGGCTGTGAGCAGCATGCTGCCTGCAAGAAGGGGAAGAGGAAAGTCCCCTGGGGACCATTGCCCCACTGGTGGAGACAGAGGGGAGGATGGGAGACACTGGGCATGCTGGTCCAAGCAGTGAGATTTCATCCACAGAGCATCATTTGGTGCCAGATTCTGCTGTTGGTGAGCAGTTGGTTTCTGTAACCAGCTTCGTGTTCCCTTAGCAATTATTTGTGAGTAACCAGTAACCTCACCCATAGGCTGAAGTTTTCTGTGAGGTTTGTCTGTTATTCAGGGAAATATGTTTGGCAGAACATGGCCTAATTCTGATGAGGCTACTTAATAAAAGAAGCAAAAATGCAGTTTTTCCTAAAGGGAAATTTTCGCTGTCGGCTTATGTGAGAGAATGACAGCACATCAGGCTTCTGAGCTCTACACTGAGCCTGATCAGGCTGTGATTGCCATGGAAATGTAGCTTGATAGTGCTCTAATATAACTAAATAGTTTGGATTATTTCAGTAAACTCAAATGAAACATTTCTCTTCCAATGATATCAAGTGTTTAATTAACACTTGAATTAATTAAATTTATTTTTAACTAACACTTTACAAAGTTTTGATGTCTCTCAACAACCTCTCTCAGAAATAAATCTTCAAAGGAGCACGATTTTTAGCAAGCCATAGTATCTTCTACCTGATTTTGAAGGCAGTGTAGGGAAGGCATGGCTTGTCCAGTCCTTTTGAAAACTTTTAATTGCCATTTGCTGAAGGTTTGCACAGCACAGGGAAATTCAGGGCCCATTCCTGTTTAAAACATATAGATGCTACTGGAATTGAAATACTAAATAATAAGTTATATGGTGTAATGCTGCCTCTACAATAAAAAAAACAGGTAACATTTGTCTTTGGGGTCCTACTTTACTGTGCTAATATTATTTAAGGCTTACAAGTCCTTCAAACGGGTCTTTCGCACTGCTAGTGGTCTTAGATACTGCACAAAAGTCTACTTCTCTTTCTATGCTAGAAAACTCAGAAAGTAGGAAAATATTCCATTTCCATAAATAGATTTGTGCCAGTATAATAGAATTCTGTATTGTAAAGTACTAATCTTAAAAGCAATTATTACATTGAAATATGTGCCTAATAGCCTATGAGGAGACATAATCTAGAAATTTCTTTGGTATAATAAAGTATCTTGGTTAGGAGAAGGGAAAGCTGCCAGAGCAGCTGGCATGAAGAAGTCACAGCTGCCAGGCCAAATCCTGCCTCAATGACACAAGCATGTACCATTGATTTAATGGAACTTGTTTGCGTCAATTATGGTTATGGGCTTGGTTCTAGGCAGAAAACCTAATTTTAGCTTTTTTTCAGGAAATAACACCCAAGTTTTCTCCGTACCACCTTTTAAGCAAGAAAGTCTATTCCGAATGCTTTGGGAGAGGAAAATCTAGTTTCAAGAGTTACTTGCAGTATTTTGCAATGTACATGTTGTTTTAGTGTCTCTACTTAATAATTTCTTGAACTTGTCTCTCAAATAGCCCTTCATATATTCTTCTAAATTGGTGAAACATGATAGGAATACCAGCTGTCCTTTTCACGTATCTGTACAGAACAACTGATCCGTGAAAGTATATTAATCAATATTAGAAGCAAATGTTTAATATTTTCCAACTCTTAACACTATATTGATGAGCTTTTACCAGGGAGGGGTCCTAGTTTAAGCCATGACTAATTCTGGCTCCAGGGAATGTGTATTTGTATGTTTTCAGCCTAATTTTATCTTTTGCTCTGCAAAAAAGTCCAGGCTAACTCTCTGGACAGCCGCTCAGACTAGCTACACCAATGATTTTTAAAGCGACTTCTTTTGTTTCAGGTAGTCGTGAATCTGCTTTTGTACATGCCATCTCCTCTGCTGGAGTTGTTTTTGCCATCACCAGGGCATGTAGCCAAGGGGAGCTGAAATCTTGCTCCTGCGATCCCAAGAAGAAAGGCTCTGCCAAGGACAGCAAGGGCCATTTTGACTGGGGTGGCTGCAGCGATAATATTGAGTATGGCATTAAATTTGCCAGAGCCTTTGTGGATGCCAAAGAACGGAAAGGAAAAGATGCAAGGGCGCTGATGAACCTTCACAACAACAGAGCTGGAAGGAAGGTGGGTGTCCATCCAACAGATAGATGCCTAGAGATGTTCTTGGAGAACTCTCCCGTGTCTGGGGCGGGTAATGGTTAGCTCTTGCTGTCTGGTCTGAGTTGTTAGGAAGAAATATGGGATGAGCAGGAGCCTGAGCTGCTATTTCTATCTCCCTTGGAGGTTCAGTGTGTGACAGAGATCTTCAAACAGACTGAATTCAACTGATTAATAGTCAGAGTCAGTTCAGTGGCTCCTTGTGTGGGAGGTTAAGCAGGAGTCCAAGTCATTACAGGATAAATTTGAATGCAGGTTTCATTTTGAGCTTAATTCTTATATAAGGCAGAGTTTTACTTTTGGTTAATACAGAATAGAAATTCCTGAAGACCACACTGAAGAACAGGCTTGACTTTAAAGAGCAAATTCAAAATAACACTAAAGAAAAAAACCATCATGTCTGTCCCTTTATGTGTATGGTAAACCTAATCATAAAGTGAGCAGAGATAAACAGTAATTGCTTTACTTTTTAAGAATACAAATCCAAACTACATGACCCTCCAAAAGGTTTTGGCCTTGGGCCATGACCTGCAGTAAACAATCCCCTTTTCTAAACACTGTATGAGAATACCACTCCTGAATTTCAACAAAAAGTCTTTACTTTTACATTGTAGGTGAATAGAAGGAGTAGTTGCCTGGTGTATTACCCACTACTGGTGCAAGGGCTGAGGAATTTGTGCACTAACATTTTGTGATGGTAGCTATAAATAGTAAGAATAGATACTGGAATACTGAATACTGGAATACGTTGTTTCATTATTTGAAACGTGTTCAAAATGTACTGCTTCTATAAAATCTGAAATAATACCAAAAAATGCTTTAATGTGCTGGACCAAGCACTTCTGAAATGATTTGTAGAGACTTCTTCTTTCTTACCTTTGGTTTTCCTTAAGGTATATTCAGTAGGAAGTAAATTGATCATATTCTGATCTTTTTGTGTTAAAAAGTTCCCTTTATATAATCTATAAAATTATTTATAACCATTATTTATTATAAAATTTTATAACCATTATTAAAAGAAATGATCCAATTCTAATGAATGGTACTGCAAGTAGATGATTTTCCTGATAAATATTTGTCCTTCGTCATCTTTCCTCCACCTGTTTATTGCCAGCAGGTGTAATTAATATGTAATATAGACAGATGAGGTTTTTCAGGTCAATGATATGCACATGCAGTACTGTGGCTGTGTTTATGTTACTGTCCAAAAGAGACTGCAGTCTACAACAGTAGCAAAGAATTTTTAGGGGTGAATAATTTCTATGATGAGAACTACTTTCTGTAATAGTTGAGCATCTTAGTAAGTTTTAAAAAATACCGCTGCCAAATACTAAAGAAGTCCTGGTAAGCAGGTAGATTTTTAGAAAAAGATCAAGAGATTTTAAAAAATATATTCAATTAAAAATAATAAACATGTTCTCATATTCCCTAGGACCTGCTTTATGGACAGGGATGCTGTTTTGTATCCAAAGTGCAATAGTGTAGGTTTAGCTTTGCAGGGGATCCCACCACCTCAGCTGCCCATAAGACTGGCATTTGGACCTGGGTAAAACCATCTGTGCCCTCAGCTTTTTCTTGCCCCCTAAAGGGTTGTCAATAAGTTTCATTTAAAACTAGACTATTCCAATTGTATTAATTAAATAATAAGTAGAATAAATATTTATAATATTTCCATATGAAGCATAGAACATAACATGATGTGTATCAGTATAGGAACATCATGGACAAAAAAAGAGACCTGCATTCCTGTATGCTTCTTCCACTTTTAGAATCATAGAATCGTAGAATCAGCCGGGTTGGAAGGGACCTCTGAGATCACGTCCAACCCTTCCAGCAAGTTGTTTTAAACATACAAGTAGTTAAACTGATTTGTGCTCAGATAATTAAAACCAAGCATCTGCTTAAATCCCAGATTTGTGATAGTACCATTGGCAATGAAGTGGGGCCATGGGAATGCCAGTGACTTCTTTGAAGTAGTCATATAATTTAAAAGTTGGAAAGAAAATTGAAAATACTTTGGTTTTATAATACATTCTCTCTTTATTACTAAGTGCTTGACTGAAAAATGCTGCTCCACTGTCCATCAATCTCACTTCTAATCACAGAACTTTCCTCTCTGTTACCTTCCTCCCATGGTGCCGTCCCTCTTGTACAAAAGCTAAAATGTTCATATTTCATGAACCCTTAAGGTATAATATTTATACATCAAATATCCATATCTTCAGAATTAGAAATAAATTATTTATTGCCTATGAACCCATCTGTTGTTCTCCAACATCATACAGGTAGCCTAAACATCTGCGATGAAGCTGACGTGGCTTTAGTGCTATCAAGACGTTAAATTAATGATGAAGGTGATTTCTCCAGTGCAAACTAATGAAGGCCTTATTCTAAAATGTTTGTTAAAAGGTTTATAAGCCTTTTAAGGATACTGTATTTTAAAATTTTGCATAGATCTGATGCCTAGCCCAGGTTTGATGTTTTGTACAGCCTCAGTAAAATTATTTAAATATGAGATGCCTATGGATTCCTGGACAATGTTTGAAACACCATTCAAGGCAAAAGGCAACTTCATGAAGATGAACCAGAGAGGGTCAGCATAGCGACGCTGCAGCTGGAACGATGGGGAAAGGGAGTGCGTTCACCTCCCAAGGAGGTGAATGATTCTGTCTGTTTCCCAGATCGTTTCCTCCTGCCCAGTGTGTCCTAGTGCTATGGACCATCTCGATCCTCGGGATGAGTGGGAAGGTAAGCCCACCAGCTGGAGGACTGTGTGTAAGGTTGAGTCAAGCAACCAGAGCAGATCAACCATGTGAGTTGGTGCTTGATGCTACCAGTGGGTGTCACTACAGACCATAACATGGAGACTCATCGCAGGCCTGGCATTACAGGATGGATGGAAAAGGGCTGAGAAGCAATCAATTGTAGTTTGTTTTACCTGTGTATATTTTACTGCATTTCTAAACAGGCCGTGAAGCGGTTTTTGAAACAGGAGTGCAAATGTCACGGTGTGAGCGGATCGTGCACTCTAAGGACCTGTTGGCTGGCCATGGCAGACTTTAGGAAAACAGGAGATTATCTGTGGAAGAAATACAATGGAGCAATTCAGGTGGTCATGAATCAAGATGGCACAGGTTTCACTGTGGCTAATAAGAAATTTAAGAAGCCAACTAAGAATGACCTGGTATACTTTGAAAGCTCTCCAGACTACTGTATCAGGGACAGGGATGTAGGTAAGCCTCTATCATTACACATGAATGGTTTTATTTCAGACATTTGTAATTCAAAGGTCAAAAATTATCATTATTATTGAGAGTGTGTGTGTGTGTATATAAATCCATGCATGTAACCAGCTGGAAAAAGCCAGGAAGATGTTTTGGAAGGACAGCTCTATACAAGAACAATAGTTTCTCGATGTCTCTAGATGTGCAACAGTCAGTTGTTCTAATGTGATTCAGCAGTTTCTGCCAGATGCTATGGAGCCCTGGAGATGCTGTAAGGCAAAAGCGGCTTTCAGCCACTTTCAGTTTGAGTTATGCTCTGGAGACATGTCCATACTGTGCAGAACTGCATACACCTTGTGTCACACAGCTCACTCCAGAGCTGCCCCAAGTCCTGTGATGTCCCTGTGATACCACCTCCTGTTGCGTTGCTTCTCTTCCACATCGTTATGCTACTGCTGCAGTGCCCTCCTTTATCTGCACATTCCCTGCTGCTCACTGTGACCGTGGCTCCCCTGGCTGTAGACACACCTCTCCCCATGTGGCAGGTACAGCCCCTTGGTGCTAACCCAACGATGCTTGCACCAGCCAGGGCAGCTGTGGGTAACACAGAGCGAGGCAGCTGGAGGATGTGCAGGTGGGTGAAAGAACAGAGGTCAGTTGGACACAATGTTGAGCAACACAGCGGTTTATTCCTCTGTACAAGACAGTGTTGGCTCCGTTCATGACAACCATTGCATTCTCTGAAGAGTTGTGCCAGCCCCAGTGGGAAGAAATAAAGTTTCAGGGCTGCTATTAACGCTGAATTTTCCTGCTTTCAGAGAGTCGATAGAGATGCGCTTAGCAGTGTTCCAGGATTCAAGGAATTGCCAAGCACCAGGAATCCTGCTAACAGTTCTTGACCCATGTATAGTATTTCCTGATGTGGCAATTAAAAACTAGCAACTAGAAAACCAGAAACTGGGAAAAGAGAACCAGACTGAGTAATGTATGAGAGATGTTGTGGAACTAATTAATAGGTTGTATAACAGGCCAGATTGCACCCCATATGACATATCTGTAAGTATCTGGATAGCAATGCAGCTCAACTCTTCTTGGCACTGCTACATATTTACAATCCAAGTTTGCTTGGAATAAACATTGCAGAACAACTGTACCTAAATAAGAACAATATGTGAATTCCTGGTCATGTACTATTGACTTCAATGAACCCAGAATTATTTCATCCAGTATGCTTACATTGTGCAGTGTTTCTGGTTAGTTGAGTAGTCAATGTAATTTTCGATGTTATTTATGGTTTTGGCAGGTGATGTTTATTACCTGCATAAGAACATATTCTTCCTTGAATAGTGGCTAACATTGTGAAGTCTAATACTTCAACCCAAGTGAATAAATAGGCATATTGTGGCATTGTGCAGAGACTAACTTTGCAGACTAGGATTTTTTCAAAACATTTATTTCTTGAGGTTGCCTCGTCCATTATAAAACCCATGATTTCTTATCTCCTGGAAGAAGAACCTGTACACAACCCAATTCTATGTCAAAAAACAATTTAATAATCTCCTTGTATTAAGCCTAATCTCATCTGTCAGTCTTGTTATCGTGGAGGAGAGCAAGCATTTTTCACTGCAATGTATTATGTGCATTTGCCAGACGCTGACAAGCCTGCCCAGAGATGGCAAAGTCTGACATGTGCTTTGGCCTAGCTCAAGATAAGGCTGCAGTTGAGGCAACATTTCTTTGCTGCTCAGAATTCAGGGAATGTGGCTGTTTGAAAGAGCATATTTTTAGCAAACTGCAGAAAACTTTTGATGGGATGTGGAGTGCCCTGCTGCTTGTGTGGAGCAAGGGAAGAATCACACAAACAAAACCTGATTTGGCTTTGAGAGAGATGATTTTGGCAGCTGAATAACATTTTTTCATTTTTTATATTTGCCCTGTTGAGCACTCCAGAGTGTCAGCCCTGTTAAATGGCTGCAAATGAAATGACATTTTGGAAGTCTGAGTTTGGAAATAGGTGGGGAGCATCTCAGCATCAGCTAATCTAGTACCGCTGCATTTTAGTATGTCCTTGAATATAGTTCTGCCTTTCACTTGTATTCCCTGGAGAATGATTTAGTGCTTCAGGAAAAAAAGTATAGCTGGAGGTTGCTTAGTATTGGGACTGAATGAAGGATTCCCAGAGGAAACTTTAAGAACCAGTGACTTAAAGGTGCTCAGGGATTCTGCCATCAGCAGCCTACCCAGAAAAAAGCAGATACCTTCTCTTCTGCCACTGGAGCTTTTAGCCCTGGTTCTTCTCTCTGTTGGTGGGCAGTCACCAGAGAGTGCTGAGGCTGAATACAGCCCCCTGGGTCTGGCACTCTGAGCTGGGTAGCTGGACATACATACATGGAACACCCCTACAGTATGAAATATATGGTTTATTTGGTTTTTCTTTCTCTAGAAGGAAAAGGGGAGTAATTGACTTCAGGAGAGACATAATATGTGGAAATCACTAATAGCAGTTCAATAGAAAGAGAATATAATAACGTGACCGCGTTTTCCCTCACATTGAGATTTCAGGAAGGACCAAAGGAAGATTTTCAGAAGTGTTCAGAATTCATTTAACTATGCTCACATAACTCTGCTGAAATAATTTTTGCTCACAATTTTGTACTCAAAAGTTGATAGAAACAGAGGTAGGACATCCCAGAGAGCTTTGAAAAATCTTGCCACGAACATAGAAATGTTGCCACTCTTCCTTATATTATCATAAATTTCCAGCCTCCAAACCCAGTACCAGCATACCCAGGACTGCCCAGGGAAAGACCTGTTAAGAATGATAGAGCTGTGACAAGAACTAAAGTGACAGCTGCACAAGTGGCAGTCCCGCTGTCACACATACTCCCTTACCCTGAATGCATTACTTCCCCTATGAAATGCTCTAAAACCCCCTCTTGCTTGTCTGCTTTTATAAGCCTCTATTTGAAGTATTTTAAGTTTTAAAAGGTTGCTATTTGCCCATCCATGCAGGCTAGGTTGATTGAAAGCTGTTGCCAGTTTATTTGGAACATAATGGTGGACAAGCAGAGACTGCTTTAGAAATAAGCACATGAACAGCTGTAGCCTGCTGGCCAAGCCTTTGTTAGAGCCTGTTGATCATGGACACTATTAAAGCAGTGTAACATCTGCCTGCCACAGAAAATGTTTTAGAACTGGTTTATTAATCATTTGTACAGAGCAATCAAAAAACTCTATGCAGTATTTGAGTGAAAATTCCTTCTACAGGGAGACCCCCACCAAAGCGTGTAGAGCAAGCCGAACTCAACTAAGCGTGTTGACATAATGTGTATGAGCCAGGAGGTTGTGTCCCCAGGTGTGGGCATCAAGGTGGAGGTGGTGGGCAAAGGCAGGATGGGGTTGGTGAGCTTATGTTGATTGTTCACATCTGTTCTTATAGCAGTGAGGCTTCAGCCATGTGGAGGTGGTGGTGGAGCAGACGCAGGGCATATTTATGTGCAGATAATCTCAAACTGCTGCAGCAGTCCTTCAGGACCTGTTGCAAATCCATGTGCCATGTGCTTCAAGTCATCCCTAGGTTTCTCCCAACACTCACATGGTCCCAGTTTGAGTACTGTCAACACCAGTGTCACTGCCTCTACCTATGCTTGGGGCTGGGGACGCATACTTGGACTGTGGTGTCCATCTCCTCTGTCCCCAACAGGCAGACAGGGTACTGTAGCTGTGTTTGAGGACCCTCCACATCTGGTCTCCTGGTGGAAAGCACTGTGGAGAGGCATGTGCAATGCTACAGGCAGCCCTCTGGAGTTGTGTGTTGGGTGACAAATCACGTGGCCAGGGTGACCTGCTTTGGGTCCTTCCCAGGATTGTTTTTGTGTTAATTTATTCTCTTGCTGTCCCATATAAGCCATTTGCTGCATTTTTGAGGTGAATGAGGCCAAGTCCAGATTGTAGCCTGGAATTTAAAGTGTAGCCTGTGAGTCCTGGTGTTGTGCAAGATGTGTTAGTACTTGAGGTATGTAACCCATGGAGGGAAACCAATCCTGATCTATGTCAAAAACTTCTCACTGAGGCTGGCTTCATACAGGCAGTCCCGGTTCAACTTGTTGGCCTGTATCTCACAGCCTGAGCATTGCAAACATGTTGAGTGTTCCAGCCCTGTGTGGGCTTATGGTAGAGCTTGTGATGACTTCCATTAGGGCAGCTCCCCTCCAAGCACTGTCTGGCAAGGGAGCAGTGCCATCACCCCCAGAGCCTCTGGGAGCTGAGAGGTTATGAAGTCTCTCAGTGGCTATAGAAACTAGAATGAGACACATATTTCCTCAAAATTGAATCTGGATAAGCTGTTTTTGTCAACACATTGCTGTCTCTTCATTACTGGCCTTGGAAATCCCAGCCTCTCCAGACAAGGCTGCCTCCAATGTGTGCTGCCTGTTCTTTCCAGCCCTTCTATACTGGGTGTTGTACATAGGTTCCAGTAGCTTCAGAGATACTTTTCTCTGAATATTTCCTTTAATTTTTCCCCCAAAACACTAGTGAGGAAACTATTACTGGGGATTTCACTGGTTTTGCTTTTTTTTTTAGGTGGAAGTCAAATAATTAATGTTATTACTTGACATCAGATTTTTAATCAATAGAGTAGAAGGGAAAAGATCACGTTATAAAGGAATAAATACATTTTAGAGCTTTAAGAATGGGGAAAATTATTTTTCAACTTAGCATATGTTTGCTTAAGAAAACAGCTATGCAAACCAAGAAGAAAGGGTTTGACGTACAGGCCGTAAAGTCAGCAGTATTAAAAGCTGTGGATGTTTTGCCAACATAATGTGTGTAGACATGGCAATTCCAATACTTGAAATGAAAACAAAAAAATTGCATGAAAACTTTTTACAAGTTAGAACATAATTCTGCCTCTTAAGAGCTAAGGAGGTGTATCACAGGTAGCAGGCAAAGATCAGAAAACTCTGCCTTATTTTGTGCAGTGTCTTCTGTAGTCTTCATTACCCAGGGTAATGAAGACGCGCAAATAACTTGCTTGGCTCCTTGCTGCTGACTATTGCTCATTTTCTTTCTTGCTAGAGAAGCCATAGAGATGCTGAAGATGCTGTTTGAACTTTAAAAAAAATGTTAATTTTGCCTGGAAACTAAGCCTTTATATTAGCCTCTTTTCAGTTTTGTCACAGTCTGTGGATCATTTAGTCTCCTGTCCTAGTGGTGTAGTAAATGTTGATGTTTTGTTGTGGGCAGCATCAGATGTTAGCAGCTTCTGACTGTTAGCAGCTGAAATAATTTTGATTTTGAAGCTGGTGGCAAAACTCCTGTTGAAAGCAGCGGGTACATTCTGCTTGGGTTCTTCTTCACTGCTGTGTGATTTCCCCATACATCTGCAAGTAAGAACTGAGGAGCTGGAAATTACACTGTGCCTCAGCTGAGGCCACTTGGGCAGCACAGCAGCACCTTTGTGGCTCCAGACCCCTGAGCCAGGGCCGGTGCCTCAGCCTTTGGCAGCAGCCAGTGAGTGGCTCCTGGGGTGGGCAACTGGGGCAGCTGTGGGTACCTGCTGATCCTGGGGGCAGGTGGCCACACAACATCCTCCTGCTCTGCCTGCAGCAGACCTGAGCCAGCCATTTGATATTGAAGCTTTCCAGGTGTATATTTCAACCTAATGAATATTTAAATATTTAAATAAATACAGGCATCTAGACTATGGAAGAGAAGGCTGAGATGTGTTCTAGGGACAGCAGCTGAAGCCTGTCCTGACTTAGATGCAAAAAGAGCAAAATTTCCACCCCTATGCCTGAGAGGCTGAATCATGTATCAGTCCTGCAGTCTGAGGTGACTGTGCTCCAGTCCTGAGACCTCTCATTATATCAGTGGATTGGGGACAGCCCTGAAATAACATGAAATAACATAACAGCCCTGGTGCTGGGAGCAGCAGGGGATGGAGGGACAGTGAAGACTTGTATGTTATGAACTGCTGTGAGACAGCAGTGTCAGTATATACAACCATAAGTACACCATAAGGGGGAAATGAAAATTAGAATTTATGCACCTTAGATTTTTAATAATTGCAGATTAATTACAGCTTAAGTTTTATTAATTGATTGGCTTGCTATCCTAATTTATGCAAATTTGAATTAATGTCTGTATATATTTTTCTTCTTTCTGTATATATAATGTCTGTATATATTATATGAGGTAAATTGCTCATGTTTGGTGTCCACCTGTGAATACACTTTGTAAAATGTTTCCAATTAATTTAATTATCCCAGTCATTATTTAGGAAATATCATTTTGACCAAGAAGAAGAGAATGGAGGTGTAATTAGCGCTACAGAAAATTTCAGAAGAATGTTAATTTCATGAATATACTTGAATTTGATTTATAATAACAATACATAAGAAATTAGGTGAAGCAATGAATTTTCATGAAGTTTTCAGATTGATAGTAATAATCTGTCAACAGCTGTGGTATTGATCCTAAAATGTACCTTAAGATCAGTTTGTTTTAGATAAGCAGCAGCCCCTATGTGGTACAGTCGTTATTCAGGCTAAGGTGTCTTACAGAGCCGTTTTGTGCACATGGAGATGGGCAGAGGCATTTCAGCCACTCCTGAGAGTTTCAAGAACATGATGAGGTGTGGTTTGCTTCTTACCCCTTCCTCTGTCTACAGCAGGCTATAATTTAGTTTCTTCTAATCTCTGTCATGAAAGAGGAGGAGAACCCTTGGTGTTACCCCACAGAGATGAGAGGCACACAGAGCAGCCATTCTTCAGCTGAACTGGTGGACATGGGGACCATGGGTGGACAGAGGGGTGCTTCTGCAGTCACTTCTGCAAGACTTTAATCACTGGCAGCACAGTTACTTTGGCCCCTTGCAGTCACCAAATTTTGTGGTCTTCTCTTTCCCAGCCCTCCCCTGCCCACCCAGAGCTCCTCGCCAAAGCCAATGAGATCCTGAGCACCACAGGGATGCTCCTCTTGGGCACCCTGTTTCACACAGCCCTGGGAGGCTGGGCACAGGGAGCAGGAGGAGGTTACACAGCTGCCTCGGGGAGGGTGTCTGCTCTCTGGAGAGGAAGAAGGTGCTAGGGAAAGATGAAGCAAAGCATGATGATATCAAGAGAATCAGGCAGAGCCTTCAAGTATTTGGTCCACTTTACTCCTCATCTCCAGACCTGAATTCTAGGGGACAATTGAGAGCAATTTTACCTTATTATAGGCATTTCTCTGTCTCAATGTTGAATCCTGGGTAATGTGATGCTGAAGGATCAAATAAATTGTGAATTATGTCTCATACCTATTTTCATTTGCTTTCTGTCCTTCCTTAAAATCCGCCTCCTGACATTTACTGTGTTCCCTCTGTAGGGTCCCTTGGGACAGCTGGTCGGGTGTGTAACCAAACCTCCCGTGGCATGGACAGCTGTGAGGTGATGTGCTGCGGGAGAGGCTACGACACGTCCCGCGTCAGCAGAATGACCAAATGCGAGTGCAAGTTCCACTGGTGTTGTGCTGTGCGCTGCCAGGACTGCCTAGAAGTGGTGGATATTCACACTTGCAAAGCGCCAAAGAGCGCTGGCTGGATCTCCCGGACATAATGCACAGGCTGCTGATGCTGAGGACCACGACCTTTTGCCCTCCCTGGTCTGTGTAGGGAAGGCATCTGAGGTCTTTGCTACTTTTACACCTGTTTTGCCTTTGTTATTCATCGCACAGAAGTTGCTGAATAATTAATAGAAACACTGCAGCATTTACTTTCCATTTCTGCACGACAGTGTTGCTGCAGAGTTGTCTGTGCATAAACTGATGCAGCTCTGGAAGGACGTACTTGTGCCAGGACACTTTCAACCACCATGTAATGCTCCTCCAGACTACTTGTCATCAGGAATACAGCAAGACACAAAAATGGGGCACCTCTTACCACCAGCAACTGCATGGGCTGAACTTGCTTAAACATCTTCTGAAGGATCTTGGGCAGGTCACAGTTGTGCCCTGGATACTGAAGGGCTTGGGAGTTTGAGCACTGGTTGGTGATTTCTCCATGAAAGAGAATTTGGGGCCAGGTTGGTGAAAAGCTTTACTGGAGGGATGTTTGTTCATCCCTGATGTACTGGAGTTTGCAATAGGGTGGCCACCTGAGGTCACTCTGGCCACCATTAGCACACTGTGTCTTCCTATGGGGCAGGAGTCGGCCCACGGAATAAAACAAAGGAAATCGCAGGAGATGTATTCAACCACAACACTTTCATAAACTATTAAAGAGTCAAAGTAAATGTCTTAGTTATATGTTTGTGAAAACTTGCCTTAAAAGATTTTAAAAAGTCATTAACTAGTGAGGTTTGGGGGCTTTTTGATCTGCAGGATCGAAGAGAAGAAATGGTTTCTCAGCCTAGTGAGAGCTGGGTACAGGACACTCAACTACCTAAGGATAAGGTTTCCTCTTTCTCGCGTGCAGAATAAGTGGGAAAACATCTGCAAACAGTGATGGAGAAAGAAATGCTTTGCCTCAGTAATGATTTGGTTTCTAAAGAATTTATCAACTTCTGTCTTCTTTTAAATTTAATAAATCTTTAAAGTGTGTTCAAAATTATACTTTCTATTCAGATGAGGACTTTCAAATGAGATTTTTTCTGCATACTTTCTACAAAAACTTATGCTTATGATTCAGAGTGCATCCACCTTTGATGGAGGCAGTTCCAGGTTGTGTCAGGTCCATATGCTGGGCTGGGATCAGCACAAAACAAGTTGCTGGGTAGATGTGCAGGCTCACAAGACCCAGAAATCTCGCAGCCTTGGTGGAGAGGAACTGGGTCAGAGAGGGACCAGCTACCTCTCCTCCAGGCAGAGACCAGCAAACGAGCCAAGAGAAAGATGGGTTCTGTGACAATAAATCTAATAAGGCTCTGGAAGAGCACCCATGAAGAGTAGAGGCAGGCAAGGTCATGAAAAAATAAAATAGGGAAAGGAGGTTGAATGGGTGATAGAATGTATTGTAGATACAGGTGAAATTTCCATGTGAAAATGAAATAGACTGGAAGAACCCTAGTGGGTACAAACAGTGCAGGAAAAAGTAATATCCAAGTAGCAAACTAAGGCAATAAAGTGAGTAATACTCTGGCTATGTTCTGGTTTTTGGTATGTTTTGGTTTTGTTTTGGTTTTTTTTGGGGTTTTTTTGTTTGGGTTTGGGAAGTTGTTTGTGGTTTTGTTTGGTTTTGCTTTTTAACTATTTTAAAAAAATGGGGTTTTGCATTCAGCAGTTTTGAGAGAGCAGTCATTTACATCTGCAAGGCTTTGGAAAAAGTTTGTATCATTAAAATGGGTAATTCATCTCCAGAAGGCACAACTGGCATTAAAAGATGAAGAGGATCCAGAAGGGTATTTATTTGGACAGTAAGATAACGTTTTAGTTACTGTATATGGCAGTGGTCATGGTTAGAAGTAAGAATAATCACACTTCTGTCTATAAGCCAACTGCTGGTGGGAACAGCCCTGCCAGCATGTTAGTGCACGTGCAGTGTAGCGTGTGTGTTATGTATGTACACATGTGCAGTTCAGTGGTTATACTGCTGGCCCCATTACTGCTGGCAATTCTGACTTTGGGCTGGATAAGGAAAATTTCATACATAATTGTATTTAAAGGTGAGCTCCAAGGAGAATTTTTATTAGGATTTCACTGTGAAATTAAATCTGCATCCAGTTCATAGCCTGAGCAATATCATATTTTAAGGCTTAAAGAACTTAAAAGCAGTATAATAATTTTTAACTTTTTAGTGTCATTTTTCTTTAAAAATTCAGGGAGACTTTGAGTAGTCTAAAAAATTTCCTGTGTAATAAAGCTGAAAATATTTCAATGTTCTGGAAAAAAAGAAAGCCTCGTTCTTACAAGGGAATTTGTTCTAGGCAGTGGAGTGAAAGGTAGTAAAATCAGATCTCTTCTTAAATCTATTATCTGGTTAATATTCCAGAAAAACCAACCCACCTGAATTCTGCAGTCCCAGGTAAAGTGGTTTTGGGGTCATGGTATTAAAGGTGGAACTTTTATTCACCAATCTGGTCCTCCTGCACCAAGGTACATCCCGCTCTAAATCTTCCCCTGGTCTCAGAGGCTGGTGGTTCCTAAAGGTCAGCCTTATTGGGAAGATGGGGGCATTGAGTACCTTGACTTTTTCGGTGTCCTTTGTCACCCCGTCCAGCACCAAGCACATGCCAGGTACACACAGCAGGATGACTTTCCCATTTCAGACATGTGCCATATCAATAAACTGTGATGTGATGCCTCCACCAAACCCACTTCACTGGAGGAAAACCAGAATATTTCACAGCATTAACAACTGTGTAAGCGCTGAGCTGGCCATTTATTTGATGATAGTTTTTTTCTGGGTTTATATGTTTTTTTGGTTTTTTTTTAAAGAGCTCAAGGTAGGTGTGTTACAACTGTAAGTATTTCTGCTGCCTCTTCCATGAAAAAAAGCACTCCCAGAAGCTATTGCTATTTCTTAGTGGCAAAAGACACTCAGAGATGTAAATATTGCTAGGAAAGGCCTCTCCGTGACCTGCAACTAACTAAACAAAGAATAAAAAAAGGGGAAAAAAAGAGAAAGCAAAAAAAGAAGAAAGAAATCAGGCAAGGCAAATTAAATAATCCTGTGTTTTGTTCTATGGAATAAATTTACTCATGTATTTAGTCATGAAGAGGAAACAGCTGTCCCTAGGTAGACACTTTAGTGTCAGAATAATGTTAGCTGAAGCAAAAGGTTGTAGGATTATTTTTTTAAATAGGCAGTCCAGTTTTCTTGAGGGAGTTCCCTTTAATTTGCTACATGAACTCAGAATCTAACAGCGCCCTAAAACGCTGTTAGTCTGCCAAGCTTTTTGGGATTGCTCCCTCCCCACTATATTGTTTTTTAAAAAACTTTACCCTAAAAAGTGTGTTGAGCTGTTTTATGTGAAATCTCCTTTAAAAAATGTAATTTTCTTTTATCACATGGAAAATGGGGAATGACTTAGGAATGGTGGTGTATGCTAGGGTATGTGGGCATTGAAACTTGAGAGATCATTGCTTTTTTTTCCTGCAAAATTACCTAAACCAAATTTGTGCATCTCATTCTGACCTCCCATCCCTGTGTAACCTTCTTGGCAGCTGTGAATTAGAAATAAAATACTGCATTTCTGATACTGTGCTGCACAACTGCTGTGTAGCCACCCTGGATGCCCAAACCACAACTGTTGGTCTCTGCCTGCAGGCTCCATGTCCAGCCTCTTGTGGGCATCAGTGTATGGTGGCAAGGGGGAAAGGAACGTTTGGGGATTAATGATCTGGATCCTAGAAAAAAACAGCTCTTAATCCACTGTGCCACAAAGTGTACCAACACTCACTGTTCTACATGTCATTTGCCCCACACTCTTTGGAAAGGCTACAGCCTTCATGCGGGGCATGGCTACCTCCAAGGGCAGAGGTGGTTTAGAGATTATATATCAGAGCCTGCAAGTTTCTTCTGCCACTTCAAACAACAACAAATGAACTTATTATCTGAAAGACAGCAGCAGCTCACCGGCTGTAATCACAAACACGGTTTTGGGTTGGGTTTTTTCATATAACAGCTCATTTGCCTGCTGAAATGGGTATGACTTCATAAAGTAAGCTCTCTTGTGTGAAAGAAGCAAATGCACATGAATCAACACATTGACAGCTCCCTCTGCGGTGGGAGCTGGGCAGGAGCCCTGAAGGAAGCTGGGTGGCAGCTGGGGCCAGGGGCCACCTTGTTCACTCTGTAACCAGAGCCCTGAGGTTTTCAAGGTCTCCATGCGGTGGCAGCCACACTGGCTGTGGAGTGTGCGTTGAGTGAGAGAGGTGTAGCTTCCTTTGGATGTTTAGCTTCTGCAGGTTTCTGCAACACAGCGAAACCCCTGGTAATTTTCTACCGGGGTAAGGACTTCTATGTTCTCCCACTGAAAAATCACAGCATTCACACAAAACGATGAAGAGAAAGCAGCCCTCCCCTACCAGTGCACTTCCTGCCTTGGAGAAGCTGTAAATCTACCCAGTGGAAGGGAGGGATAGAAGGTGGCCAGCTTGACTTGACACTCCTCGGCGGGGGGGGGTCCTCTCCTTTTTTGTTCTATGCAGATTACAGTGTAAAGAGATAATGTGCATCCAAATTCTATTAGGCTGACTTTAAAGAAAAAAGGAACTGCTAAGATTTGAATTTAAAAAGCTCCCCCCACCCTCCACCTCTAAATCTGCAAACTGAAGATTCAGATGAATTATTATCTGAAGCAGATTTCCAGAAGGCTCATCTCTGCACTAAGCCAGAGGCTTTCCATCATTATAATTGTGGGCTGTATTTGCCTTTTCATCTAAGCCATGCTGAACTTCACAGGAAACATGTCAGAGGCAGCAAAGCCTAAGGCAACCAACTCTGTCCAACGGAAAAGAAAACCCTTTTGTCTGCCTTGCCTAGTCTTCCAGATGCCTAGAATTATAATTAAAGCTATAGAGAGATTTTCTAGATAAAATCCATGGCTCATTACTGCTTATCAGGGAGATGGATACTAGAAATGGTAGAGATAGAATTGCATAAAGGTATTTTTGAGTTCCTAAATATTCCCCATAGTTCAAGGGAAGGACGTGATTCTTCCAGGAGTTACATGCTTTTTATCAGATTATTACCAATAGTAATTCCCACACAGATCATAATTCTTCTAACAGGCCAAACTACTACCTTAGCTGCTGACAAACA